ACCAATCCTGGCGTCGGTAGAACTCTTTCTACGAGGTTCGGCTGGCTTCTCCTGTCGTGGAGGCATTCTCACCTGATTGTTTCCAGGGTCTGTGAGGTAACAATTGGACTATTGCATACACTGGACCCTAGTGAGGCTAGATAGGGTCCACCTTCATTCGTGCGTATAGTTTAGATATGGTCCAGATCCAGCTCTGAAAGACATGCAGGAGAAATGAGAAAAACTAAGTATTGACATGGCACATCGCTGACATCAGGCGTTGGATGTACAGAGTACTCAGTAAGGAGCGTCTTAAGTGGTGCGCTGGGACAGGGCGTTTAAATGTGGTGTCCAAGTTAGCTAAAAATTGAAGTACAGGAAAGGAGTGAGGGAGGACACGGGCACTGATAGATCAATAAGTGATCTTTCTGTTGAAAGACAAGATGCGGCCCTAGAAGAGACAGAGTCTGATAGTTGAGACAATGTCTTTCTGGGTGTGGTGCCCAGGATAAGAATTCATTTGGGGAGGACTCATGACAGAATGGAGTTCTGTTAGGCAGGCTCTGCTGTGTAGCTCAGAGATAGTGATGTTTGGCGAATATTACTTCTAATATTGTCCATTTTTTCCTCCTAGTCTGATAATACATATTTGCTGAAACCACAGTGGATTTCTATGTCAATGCCGGCTAGAGCTTTCGGCGTGAAGCCACAGTACTGGCCCCCTCACTAGCCTTTGTCTAGTAACTAACAGGTTTCCGGCCAAGATTTATGGTGTCTCCGTGCTAGCGCTTCCTCACTTTTGACATTGTTGCCTTATATAATTTATTGGGGGACATAGCACCATGAGATTTTTTCTGTCAAGTTAGTCTTGGCAGAATGGATACATTTATCACAGGCTAGCATCTTACATTTAGTTACATTGTATTTTGTGTTAATTGAAGTGGGTCATCTTTGAAAAGGGGGGACACAGTTATGGCTGTATTGTCTGAACTTTTCTCTTACATTAGGGCGTGCTGGTCCCTAGTGCAGCATCATGGAAGGAAGTGTCTCACAAACGGCCTCCCTCAGCCGTGCCCTATATGTGGGCTTAAGACACCTTCCTCTTTGTCCAGGATGAAATGTATGGACAAAAAAAGGGAGTTTTCGCGGGACACATATATGTGTTTTTCGAGGCCAATCCTCTTGTTCGTTATAACTCTAGTATTTCGGTATGACACTTGATTAATTATTACGTCCCTGATCAGTACTGAAAGTTTATATTTTAAATATTAAGACCTTTTGTGCTTCTCCATTCAAAACCTCAATATCAATGAATTGATATTTAATTCTTTTCAGTTTAGGTAGAATTCAAGAGGCAAACATTACCCCACGTTGTCTGCAACAGTTAGGACCCACCTTTTGTATAATTTCCTGGCGGTGGCATTCTTATAGGGGTGTTTGGTGTTGCAGAGGCTTCTCATTTCATTGTGCTTTGAGATAAGGTAATACTGTGATGTTGTTTTATAATGTTTTTAGGGTCTATAGCTGTTGATGGTGAGTATCTAGTGATTGGTCTGGAAAACATGTTGTTTTGTTGTTTACATGTTTGTAGTATAATCCATTTATTATATTTTAATATTGTATCAATGGTTGAAGTATCATTCTAGTAGCGACCATTTTTGGCTGTTTTGATACTGGGTATGAGGGAGCCACCTGTCGATGATCGTATATGCTGGTTTAAGATAATGGAAGTATGCATCACACCCAAAATGATCTCACTTAGTTGGACCTGAGAACTCTCTGATGGATTCTCCGTGCTGTTGTCGCTTTTGTCCTGCTGACTGATGTGGTAAAGTTTTGAGAGCTATCGTTTAAAATGTTGGTGTTGGTTAAAAAAAAAAAGAGGTGAAGTTGTGTGCTAATGAACGTACAGTTTTCTCGCGTGCGCAGTGTGGTTTTTATATTGACGCACTTGGCAGGGTTCTTGGGCTTTCCTGGAGATTTTGATGTTTTATAAAGGTTAGTGAGATCTACAGAGAAATGGGGGTTCATTATGGGGTAGATGCAGTTAGGGTTAACACAGGTGTGTGTTATATCATGCTCCTAAGAGGTGCGACCATCCGATAAGTCCAATGTATGAACTTAAATAAAATGTGAGAGTAAAGTAGTAAGTTTATTCATGCTGTGTTGCTGTATTCTGGCGTGTGCTGATATATCTGAAATGCGTTGTGGATTGTATAGTCTTATCGTTGCGAGCTAATGGTTTCTCGGGTGTGGGTGTAGAGCTTGGACCTCGCGCGAAGATATGGACCTTTGTTTAGTATCCAAGAATGGTATAGTTATAAACTCTATAAGCTACCCAGATTTGTCTGATGTATCTCCAATGTCTCAAACTGGGCTATAATATCTAAGTAAGCATCCTAAGTGATACACATGTAGGCTAGCTACCAATGGTTTTGAATAGGGTCTTGGCATTTCTGGTTGGTGGAGGAGGGTGTGTTCATGGTGGGGCGGGTATATACATACATAGTGAGTGAGATGTGCACCATCTGGGGGATGGTCATGATGGAGACTCAGACTTTTGGGGGGAGGGGCAAATGGGCATTATTGAAACCTTAAAATCTGTACCATAATATACCAAATAAAAAAAAATAATTAAAAAAAAAAAAAGGTTAAATCTAGTCCCTTTCATTGCATCTTGAATGGAGATGGAAGACCTGAATTACTTTTTTGTTTTATTTCATTCTTATTTATTTTTATTTATGTTGTGCAGAGACAAGGTCTCGCTCTGTAGCCCAGGCTGTAGTGCAGTAGCATGATGATAGCTCACTGCAGCCTCACACTCCTGGGCTTAAGTGACCCTCCTGCCTCAGCCTCCTGAGTAGCTAGGACTACAGGCACACCACCACACCCAGCTGATTTAAAAAACATGTTTTTAAAATGTTTTTAAAAAACAAAATGACTCTTGTCATTTCATTTGTGACATGATAGTATCATTCCCTGTTAAAATGCCTCTTTTGTCCACTAAACAGATTTTTGAGGGCAGCATTTTGTACTATGCCCGGAGCCCAACATTGAGCCTGGGCCGTATCAGAAGCCAAATGAATGAATGAACATTGGCGGGAGATGCAGGTGGAGATTAGATGGAGTAGCTGTAATCTACACTTGATGTGAAAAGCGGGAGGAATTTCCTCAGGCAGAGAAGCAAGTATTAGCACGGAATTCCCAGAGAAGAATCATCATCTCACTAAGATGATTCATCACACAGTGAATAGGAAGCTGGTCCACTAAATTAAGACAAGTAAGATATGGAGGGATTCAATACCAGGTATGGTGGTTTGAATTTAATCTCAGTGTCAGTAGGCAGATCTTTTTGGTGTTGAGCAGAGCATGAAAAATCAGCTTCTGGAGGGGCTTCGGCAGATTCCATACCTTCTTTATTGTGCAGATTTCTTTATACAGTATTTCATTTTAAATACCTATTAATGTCAAAAATTATAGGATTTTTCTATGGAATGTGAGAGAAATTGAAAATGCATTTTTCTTCATTACATTAGTAAAATCATTGGGCTGGAAAATACGTTAGCTATTGTCGTCTTATACAAATCTCTCATTGATGGGTGGAAAAGCTGAATCCCAGAGAATTTACTTGGTTTAAACCAAAACAAAGCAAACAATAAGAACAAAAATAAAGTTTCCAGAAATACAGTGAAAAGTACAAACATCTTTTCATAAATGTGAAAACTGAGCTCTCATCACACAGATCCTTAAGTGTTTCACAGCCCAATACTGGAATACTTCAGTGTTGTCAGCATCTGAGAGTTTGAATACACAAATGGACAATAGCCAGACTACATGTAAAATTAGAACTTTGACTCACAATCTATAGCAACCTGTCCAGAAAGCCAAGCCCTTAATCTACTATAAACAACCCAGGACGGCCACCTACTACTGTGCATCAGGCTTGCAGGAAGCCAGATTGCTAGCTATGGTGACAGTTGGGCCAGGACTTGATTCTTAACTGACTGCATCCCTAATTTTTGTCCCCACTTCCAATTCAGGACCAACCAGAGTAGGCCGAATATGCCCCCAGCCAGTCACAGAGGAGGCCCAGCTTCCCTGGAGCCTTCTGCAGCTTCCCTGGGACAGTGGCCTCCCCTTCCTCCCACTGCCACGCGTCCCCTCCTCTGAATCTCGGTAGAGTGCAGGTGCTGTGACAAGCAAGGAATAAATAGGACTTTGCTTTTCTCATTTGGTTGCTCTTTGTTTATTTCTACACGTAGTCAAGCCTGCAGAATTGCAATCTTCACGACGGTTTATTCATGTCACCATGGTCTATGGTACACAGTTAGGAAGCAGAGACTTGGGCAATAAGAATTACAAGGCCAGGTCAAGGTTAGAACAAATAAACATGGTTTTACTAACCAACAGCTGGGTTCCTTAAGGGTGGCCTCTCTGGCTACTTTATGAAGTCCTACACCACTCGGCTGGCTATTGGGGGGAAGTCGCCAGATTTTCTCAATCCCTTGGCTTTTGAAGGACATATTTAACTCTGATAACGTTCTCTATATTTTTAACTTTTTGTTTGTATACTAGTGATGGCTTCCTTTTGGTTTTTATCAGGTGCAAGAGAAAAGCTATCAAGTTAATAATCATTAATGCCCAAGGGATATAATATTCTCATAGACAAGATCTCTAGTATGCTATCAATACTTACCAAAGGCTTCCCTAAAAATAGACATAGGAAAATAACTATTTGCCAGTAACGTGGCCTCATGGAAAAAAAAGAGAGAAATAACCTAAATGGAAGCAGAGTTTCTAGGATCATTAGATTTTTTTTCTAGCATCCTAAATGATAATTTAAACAGTTAATTGAGCTCATGTAAGTTTCATTTTCTGGTACACCAATGAAAATCATCATCTGGCACAATGGAAATGGTAATTGGACTGAGATCAAATGTCATGTCTAACGGTGTGATGTTAGGTATGCTATCTAAACTCACTAAGCCTGTTTGTCCATAAATTGGAGGGAGAACATTTACCTGACAGGGTTGACGTCGGCATTAAAGGAATGAATGTACATTTGTGCTTTGAAGGACTTAACGTATGGGATCCTTGTTGATTGAATGACAGCTGCAATAATCAGCATATTATCGTTACCCCCTTGCAAGGCATCTTTCCCTGTTTAAAAAAAAAACATGACACTTGTTAAAGACAGCAAGGAAGACTTTATTCAAGGGGGGCCCCAACCTTTCTTCAAGGTGTGGTGCCCACTTCAATGGGACTTTGCAGTGGGGCAGAGAGATTGGGCTCAACTCTGAATACAAGAAAAAGTGGGGATTCATAGCAAGGAGCAGGCGAAGGAGTCAGAGGATAGGAAATTACTAAGAAGAAACATCAATTCTGGCTCAACCAACCTAACCAGATTCTTGCTGAAGGCAGGCCAGGTGATGTGCCCTCACCTGTGGGTGGGGAGCCTGAGGAACCTGGCCAGACAGTGAGGGTAGAGGCTTCTGGCTAAACTGACTAAGCCGGATTCTGCTAAAATTGGACAATGCAGACAACACAGAAGTGCAAAACTCAAGACCTAGCTGAAAAAGCTCTCAGTGGCGTTTGGTGAAGGAGATGATCTCTGGCATCCCCTAATCTCCATGCCTGGCATTAGTGCTGGGCACCACTGGGTCGCATGTGACCAATCCATGACATCCCATGCTCATGGATTAGAAGAATCAATATTGTTAAAATGCCCAAAGCAATGTATAAATTCAATGTGATTCCTATCAAAATACCAACTTATTCCTCCTAACTGAAATTGTATATCCTTTGACCAATAACTTCCCCACCCCTATCCCCACCAACACTTGGCTTTGAGGTGGGTGTTTTAAGACAAACAGGGATATTTACCAACAGGCCACAGGTCACTTCTGCAGGGAGTTTATGAAAGGGCTCAGCAAAACAGAGAGAAGGTTGTCCCTGTGGAGAGCCTCTTCTGCTCCAGACACAGCCCCAGGCCTGCTCTTGGTTCCCTGGAGTTTAGAGCCTGTCACTTTGCCAGTAGTCGTCTGTACAGAAGGTGCAAACTGCGAAGACAACAAAGGCGGGAAAAAAATGCTCTTTTTTCCTTAAAGCAGTCATTCATTATTAACAAAGCATCCATGGACACTAAAACACCAATGCTCAGGAAACAATAAAAAATACCAATGCTCCTCTTCCTTAATCTGGGCTCCCTGGAGAGAGAGTAAGCATGCTATCTATCTAGTCGAGATGGATTCAACATATGCCATGGAATACGGATGGTGTGAATGGGACTCAGTGCTGAGAAAGAATCACCGCTAATTTAAGAAACTTAGGATTTTTGGGAAAAGGCAGATACATCAAACAGATACTATGACACAAGGAGAAAGAGTATGTGGAAAGAAAGCAATGTACACAAATTAGTAGCATTTCTATACACCAATAATGACCAAGCTGAGAATCAAATCAAGAACTCAATCCCACTTACAATAGCTACAAAAAATAAAATATACCTAGGGATATATTTATTATATTCAAGGAGGTAAAAGAGCACTACAAAGAGAACTACAAAACTCTGATGAAAGAAATCATCACTGACACAAACAAGTGGAAAGACATCCCATGCTCATAGATTGGAAGAATCAATATTGTTAAAATGACCATCCTGCCCAAAGCAATGTACAGATTCAATGTGATTCCTATCAAAATACCAACATCTTTTTTCACAGAATTAGAAAAAACAATTATAAAATTCATATGGAATCAAAAAAGAACCCAAACAGCCACAGCAATCCTAAGCAAATAGAACAAAATCGAAGACATCACATTACCCAATTTCAGATTATACTACAAGGCTATAGCAACCAAAATAGCACAGTACTGACATAAAAGTACACACATTGGTCAGTGGAATTGAGACCCCAAAACTAAAGCCGTATACCTACAACTGACTAATCTTCAACAAAGCTGATAAAAACATACATTGGGGAAAAGGATGCCCTAAAATAACCCTAAGAAGTGGGCAAATGACATGAACAGACATATTTCAAATGAAGATATACAAATGGCCAAGAAACACATGAAAAAATTCTCAATCATCACTCATAATTAAGGAAATGCAAATTTAAACCACACTGAGATGTGGTTTTACCCCACCTCACCCCAGTCAGAGTGGCCATTATTAAAAAGTAAAACAACAGGTGTTGGCACAGATGTGGTGAAAAGGGAACACTTACACACTGTTGTTTGGGAATGTAAATTAGTACAACAACTATAGAAAATAGCGCAGAGATTTCTCAACTAAAATAGACATACCATTTGAACCAGCAATCCCACTACCGGGTATCTAACCAAAGGAAAATAATTCATCATATCATAAAGACATCTGCACTCATATGTTTATAGCAGCACAATTCACAATTACAAAGAGGTGGAATGAGCCTAAGTATCCACCAACCAATGAGTGGATAAAAAATATGTGGTGTACGTACACATACACACACACACACACACACACACACACCATGGAGTACTACCCAGCCATGAAATGAATGAAATAATGTCTTTTGCAACAACTTGGATGGAACTGGAGGCCATTATCCGAAGTGAAGTAACTCAGGAATGGGAAACCAAACACCACAGTTCTCTCTTGTAAGTGGGGACTAAGCTGTGGGTACACAGGTCACACAGAGTATAATGGACCTTGGAGACTCAGAAGAGGGGAGGCTGGGGGGGTGAGGGATGAAAAATTACCTATGGGGCACAATTCAGGTGATGGGTACACAAAAAGCCCAGACTTCACCCCCATACAATTTAGCTATGTAACCCAAAACCACTCATACCCCTAGAGGTGTCCTCCCGTGTGCTGCTCCCCAAACATCCTCCCCCAGACCCTGCTCCTGGTGTCTCTGGAGGTGTCTTCCCTTTGTGCTCTTCACACATTCTCTCCCTAGTGGAACCTGCTCTCCTGACATCACGATAGTCCTCCCATTGCCTTTTATTCACGGGTTTGCAGTCTATATAGGTGTCCTTAAATAAATGAAACATTGCTCCGGTGTTTCTGCTTTAGCACTTTTCATTAAAGTTCATATGAATTCTTCTGTGTCTGGCTTCTTTGCTCAATATTGTGTTTCTGAGAACCATTGATGCTGATACATATAGCTGCAGTTGATTTGTTTTCAATGTTATATAGTATTTCATCATATGATTGCATCACTATTTATTTATTTTAGAATCAGGGTTACATTTTGTTGCTCAGGCTGGAGTGCATTGGCAAGATCATAGCTCACTGCAACCTTGAACACCTGAGCTCAAGTGATCCTCCCATCTCACGCTCTCAAGTAGCTAGGACTACAGGTGCGTGCCACTACACCTGGCTAATTTTTAAATTTTTTGTAGAGACAGCATCTCACCATGTTGCCCGGGCTGGTCTAGAACTCCTGGACTTAAGTAATCCTTTCACCTCAGCCTCCCAAATGTGCTGGGATTACAGGCATGAGCCACCATGCCAGCCTAGATTTCATTTTCTGGCATTTTATATAAATGGAGTCATACACTATGTATTCTTTTTTGTCTGACTTCTTTCACTCCGAATAATTATTTTCAGATTTATCCATTTTATTGCATGAATCAATACATCATTCCTTTTTATTGAGGAGTAGGATCTCATTACATGCATATACCACAATTTGTTTATCTACCCATCCGCTGCTGAAAATTTGGGGTTGTTTTGAGGTTTTGGCTATTGTAAATAGGACCCAGACTAGGGTGAGGCCAACAAAAGGCTCTTTCTGCAAAAAAACTGAAGGTGCTCACTCTCAGGTTTGTACAAATGTCTCACTGGCCTCACCCTAATACCAGCCCTGATTACAGATAAGATTGCTATGAACATTTGTGGCAAGTCTTTGTGTGGACATATGCTTTCATTTCTCATGGGTAAATATCTAGGAGTGGAATAGCAGGATCATATGACAGGTATCTTTAATATTTTTTTTTGTTGTTGTTTATAAAATGCTGCATCTAAGTATTTTTTTAAAAAACCACTTAACAATTTTCAAAAGTGATGTAGCACCTTTCATCTCTACTAGCACTATAGGACAGTATTAGTTGCTCTACATCCTCATCAATACTTGGCATGGGCAGCCTTTTGAATTTTAGCTATTCTAGTGGGAGTGTAATAGTAGCTCATTGTGGTTTTAATTTGCCTTTCTCTAACTACTCATGGTGTTATCTTTTCATCTGCTTTTTTGCCATCCATATATCTTGATATCCTATCTGCTCAGATCTTTTGCCCCTTTTTATTGGAGTGTTTGACATCTCATTATCGAGTTGTAGTTATTCAGGTACACTAGATACAAGTTCTTTGTCAGATACATGTTTTACAATATTTTCTCCTAGTGTGAAGGTATAGCCTGTTCCTTTCTGTTATAGTGTCTTTTGAATCACATACCTTTATTTTTTTTAAAGTCCAAATTAGCTTGTTTTTTGTATCAAATTTAAGAAATCTTTGCCAAATCTAAAGTCACTAATATTTTCTGTTTTATTCTGAAAGTTTTATGGTTTTAGCTATTATATCTAGGTCTTTACCAATTTTGAGTCAATTTTTGTATGTACTATAAGCTGGGGGGTCAAGGTTCATTTTTTTTTTTAGATATAACTGATTGTTCTAACATTTGTTTAAAAGATTATCATTTCCCTATTAAAATGCCTTGCAACATTATTTAAAATTATGATGTATGGGTCTATTTCTGGGATCTATTCTGTCCTGTTAATTTGTCTGTTTTTTCATCAATACCACACTATCTTTATTACCACAGCTTTCTAATGAATCTTAAAATCCAGTATTAAGTTTGCCAGCTGTGTTCTTCTTTTTCAAAGTTGTTTTGAAGCTATTATAAGCCCTTTTTCTATTTTCTAAATTTTAAAATCAACTTGTCAATATCTACCAAAAACATCAGCTTTGATTTTGAGTAGAATTTCTTTGAAGCACAGATTGATTTGGGTGAAATTCATACCTTAACAAAATGGAGTTGTCCAATCTATGAACACAGCATCTCTCTCCATCTATTCAAGTCTCTTTCATTTCCATCAGCTATATCTTGCAGGTCGCAGTGCTCAGGTCTTTTCCATATTTTGCCACACATATCCCTAAATGTTTCGTAATTTTGATGTTTTGTTAAATATGTTATCTACTTTCAAACTTATTGTTCAATTGATTTTTTAATATTGGTTCTGCATCCTCTAAGCTAGGCAAAACATCAAAATTCTGAATATAATTTTCATATTATCTTATGATTATCTTTTCATAGAACATAAAAGGGACAATGAGGAATTTAAATTCAATTTTGAGGCACTCTGCAATTACGCTTTTTTTTTCAAACAATACCTATTTGTCCCTTTTTAGTAAAATGTTTCATCCAGTTATCATTTCACTCTCAGAACTACTCACAGTAGGCAAATGGTGTCAGTCCAATTTTGTACAGGAGGGCACTGAGACTCAAGGGAGTTAAGTAATATACTTGCTCAAGTTCATGGAAAATAAATAGTAGAGCTGTCAGAATCCCAGGTTTTGGCACCGAAGTTGTCAAGGTGGGAGTCTGCCCTCAGTTCTTGGTGGAAGAATGACAAGACACACCAAAGTGACAAGTCTTGACCATTGTCCTGGTCCTCTGACTCCTTTCTTGGAAAACTCACCAGCAAGGCCAATACGATGAAGTAAGTAACTTCAGGCAGGAAGCAGTTGGGTCTACCTTCAAGAGTGGAGAGGGACAGAGCAACTCGCTGACTGACGCTCTCGCTTCCTCCTGACTTCTCAGATTGTTTCCTTTTATTAGCCCAGTCTGGAGGCAGGCTCTCAGGAGGTATAGGATATTAGAAAATGATCAACAGGTGTCCTCAAAATTCCATCTGCGCTTACGAGCTCCCTCTAAGAAAGCCCACCTGGGGGGGTGAACCACAATGCAGAGTCAAACTAATGTCATACTAATCACCCTTAGGTTACTCTAGGTCACTTTCTAAATCCTAGCATGCCTGGGCTGGGGAATTTCCAGGTTGACAGAACAGCCCTCCATCCCCAGGTGCAGCAGCTGCTCAGGATAAGATTAAGGGCGGGGTGGCACCAAAATGGAGCACCCGCCTTATCCTTCTCCCCAGGTGGAACAGTTGCTCCAAATAGCACCAAAGCAGGGAGCCCTTGTCCCAAGAAGAGCCCGAGATCCTAATCATCTATCTCACAAAGCCGGCCTCCAGTGATCTTCAGATCCACGCCCAGTGCTTTTTCCATTGGAACATGACCCACACCAGCTCGTCTACATTTTCTGTGTTTATACCTGGGTCCTACACCAGCTCTCACAAGCCCTCTGATGTCTTTGAGGATGTTTTTTCTTTATTCATCGGTGCTCCTAAGGACTGAGGCAGAAGCAGCAATCCATCTCACGCACAGCTACATTCTGTAGTAGAAGAGACAGCTTATTGCCTAGGGCCTCACCTTGGGAAGCTGACTGGTCATGAAAAGTACCACTGAGCATGTGCACCCTGCAGTCCTGCAGACCCACCCACAGCTGGTTCTTTGGAGGGGGTGGTTAAATACCTTTGGACATAACTATTATACATAGATCTTTTCCAAACTGCAGCCACCCTCCCCATTTAATGAAATAAAATGCAGATTTATGTTTAATTGCACTCCATAAATCTTTTGAGTTTCCCTTTCTATAAAACATTCAGGCAGTGTGAACTTCAGTGACATAAACTATCATTCGAAAGTGTGCTCTATGTGGGTACTTCCTCCTAAATAAATATGAACACATCATGTGCTCCGTCATTCCATGGGAATGTTACCCTGTGCAATTTTCCAGGCCTGCTAACCTCCAGCCTTGGCTAATCGCTTCAGTTCATTCTTCCAGAAAATTAGAGAAGCTGTTGTTATTCTGTGGTGAGTATAAACATCTGATCATTTTTCTCCTGAAAAGAAAACACAGAAATATTCTTACATTTGGAGACAGGAAAACCTCATTTGTTCAATTCCTCCCTAAACATGAGAAGTTTAATGTAAACTGAGCCTTTCTACCAGCAAATTCACTACAGCTGCCTGGGCGGAGGGCGGGGGAGGATGAGTGGAGTATCCCTTCCACACACCCACCCCCCACACTTATGCTAAAGTGCAGGAAGGAGAACTTTCCACCTCAACCTGTTGGGGGGCCGGCTGACAGTGGCTCCGTGAAGCTGAAAATATCCAACATATTTTCTCCCGTAGATTCCTGATAGGTGCTACCAGGAAGCCTTCACGTCTCAGGAAAATACCAGGTGTGAAGCCATGGAACCCCAGGAAAAATCACTTTCCCTTTCTAGGTCTCAAACTATAAACTGAGAAAGTTGAACTAGCTGCTCTCTGAGGTCCCCAGGCAGTTTAATATTCTATGACTGCTCTAGGATTCAACCATACTACATCAAGCACTATATTTCCCCCCAAGTCTGTTAAATAATGGCAAAAAGTCAATGGCCCTTGCACACTTCCACTTTAGGGTTCAGAGTGCTCCTGTCTGCCCATTTGATCAAAGATGTGAGAGTTGCACTTGGCTATAGTAAAAATAAAAATGTGCTAATGATTCCTGAGCAAACTCAGACTGCAGCTTCATTTATGCAGGTCACTGAAGCAGCTGAGCTGCCCCTCTCTGGGGAGGTGGGGTACCCAGAGGGCAGCCAGATTTAAAGAGAGGACAGTATTCTACCCCATTCCTCCTCAGTCTTAAACAGCCAGCAGATGTGCCTGTGAATGTTAACCTGGAGCCAAGAGGCAGAGCAGAGGGACCACGTCCCTTTCCCACAGTCCCACGTTCCAGTGCCCTCCTCTTGTCCCTGGGGACCCCAGCCCGCCGGGCCACACAGGCTCAGAGCGCTGTTCCCGTCACTTACGTGGCATCTGCATCATGACTTAGTGACACCTTCAGCTTCTAACCATCTAGGGTGTGTCTCCAGTCTTCCTTAGCGCACCTAAGACCAGTGGGCACACATCTTTCTCCTCTCTGGCCTCACTGTCGAGGGGACACGTTCGCCCCTGAGGGCTGCATCACTCCCTGAGCTGAGCCCTCGGTACTTCCCAGTCGTAGCTCACCCACTCCCTGTTCCTGCCCGCTTCCCCGGACAGCCGCACCCAACCTCGACCCGCCCATGAGACTGGCGCCTGCAGCACTTCAGTGCCTCCGCCCTGCCAGCCCTGCTGGAGCTCCCAGACCATCTGCTCCTGGCTTCAGGGTGCGTAGGTGCCGGTCCCCTCCCACCTCCCCTCTCCCTCCCCACCTGCAATGCCCACCCCCAGGAGCACCCAGGCCTGTATTTCCAACTACCTGAGTCTTCCGCAGAGAGTTCCTACCACCAACCCACAGTGCCCTAGTCACACCTGAACCCTCTTCCCTCCCCAGCCCACCTGCCCCTCCAACAGCAGTGATCTTGCTTCATAGCATCCTCCTTCCTTCGCTTCTGTGAGTTGGTCAGCTGGCCCCGTGTTGCAGTTGTGCAATAATAGCTCACTGCAACTTCTAATTCCTGGGCTCAAGAGATCCTCCCAAGATCCTCCCAAGCCTCAGCCTCCCAAGTACCTGGAATGACAAGCATATGCCACTATGCCTAGCTAATTTTTTAATTTTTAGTTTTTAGAGATGGGGTCTTGCTATGTTGTACAGGCTGGTCTTGAACTCCGGTCCTCAAGCAATCCTCTTGCCTTGGCCTCCCAAAGTGCTGGGATTACAGGTGTAAGCCACCACGCCCGGCCTTTTGTTCTTGTTAAATATTGTGATGTTATACATAGTTTCATTATGTAGCATTCTATTGTATGACTATATAATAATTTTCTTACCTATTCTCCTATTGATGAAATTTAGGCTATTTTTGTATTAGAAATAATATCACCTTACCCATTTTTTTCTTTTCTTTTATTATTAATTAATTTTTTTTTATTTCAGCATATTATGGGGGTACAAATGTTAAGGTTACGTATATTGCCCATTTCCCCCACCCCCCTCGAGTCAGAGTTTCAAGCGTGACCATCCCCTAAACATTGCACATCTCACTCATTATGTTTGTATACCCATCCCCTCCTCTCCCCTCCCACCCACCCGACACTTGATAAATGTTTTTCCTATATGTCCACTTAGGTGTTGATCGTTAATACCAATTTGCTGGTGGGTATATGTGGTGCTTGTTTTTCCATTCTTGAGATACTTCACTTAGTAGAATGGGTTCCAGCTCTATCCAGGAAAATATAAGAGGTGCTAGATCACCGTTGTTTCTTAAAGCTGAATAGTACTCCATGGTGTACATATACCACATTTTATTAAACCACTAATATATTGATGGGCACCTGGGTTGTTTCCACACCTTTGCAATTGTGAACTGTGCTGCTATAAACATTCTAATGCAGGTGACCTTACACATTCTTATGCACACTTCTCTGTGTGTTTAAATATGCTGGGATGTAAGAGTGGAGTTTCTGGGGTTTTAAATGATTTTCCAACATGAATGCAGTAATTTACATTCTTACCAGCAGGGTCTGAAAATTCCTGTTATTGTACCTTCATCATCACTTGGTACCACCAGGCTTCTTAATATTTTCTAACCTGTGGGTTTTTGAGTTTTCCTAATTTCTAGGTAGGTTGAACTTCTTTTCTATTTCTTTCCTCCCCACTGATTTGTCTATTCTTATTTTTGTCTCTGTTTTAAAATAAGTTTATATTTTTATTCACTTTTTATAATTCTTTCTATAGGTAAGTAATATTCTATCAGATAGATGTATTTTAAATATCTTCATCTGTGGCCTATTTTAGTTTGCTTTGTCATTGGATAAATTCAAGTTTTGATTTTAATGTAATTTTATGTATCAACCTTTTCTCCATCTCAATCCAGGGTGGGAGAGCCCAGGGCAAAACCACGTCTGCCAGTGAGGCTGGGGAGTCTGAAAGTGTTAGAGCAGGAGACCAGGGCACAGGGCTGAGACCGATCCAGGGCTGAGACTGGATCCAAATGCTTGAAGATCAGGTGCAGGTGTTGAAATAAACCACCCTCAGGCAGAGCTACCTAGAGGGGCTGATAACCACAGGCAAGAACCAGCTTCAGTAGGAAGGGCACGGTGGCTCACACCTGTAATCCTAGCACTCTGGGAGGCCCAGGTGGGCAGATTGCTCGAGGTCAGGAGTTCAAAGCCAGCCTGAGCAAGAGCGAGACCCCGTCTCTACTATAAATAGAAAGAAATTAATTGGCCAACTAATATAGCTAGAAAAATTTAGCTGGGCATGGTGGCACATGCCTGTAGTCCCAGCTACTCGGGAGGATGAGGCAGAAGGATTGCTTGAGCCCAGGAGTTTGAGGTTGCTGTGAGCTAGGCTGATGCCATGGCACTCACTCTAGCCTGGGCAACAAAGTGAGACTCTGTTTCAAAAAAAAAAAAAGAATCAGCTTGCTCCTCAGCTATCTCTGCCTTACACAAACTTTGGCTAAGTATAATATCATTTACAGTGTGGATTTAAAAATTTTCTGCCCTTGAAATCACGTGACAGTTCTGAGATAGCCATATAAAGTATGAAAATGGGAGGGAACCCAGTTCTAGGAATTACTACCCAAATTCTTAGTAAAAGCCAACCCCCTTGGTCTTGAATATTGCTCCTCTCAATTAGTAAGACTTCAAAAGACCAAAACCTGCTTCTCCCCAAGCGCTTTTCTCTCCTAGGAGAGTGTACTTTTGCTTTCAATTATCACTCGGCTTACCTCTGGCATCCTGAAATTCTTTTCCTGAGATCACCAAGAAGTTGGAAAAACTTTCATTCTGAGGCCATTAACAAAAGCACATTTTAATTTGGGAAGGCTAGGCGGGAGGATGTCTTGAGCCCAGAAGTTCATAGACCAGCCTGGTCAATAGCGAGGCCCTGTCTGGACAAAAAAAAAAGAAAAATCCACTTAGCCAGGCCTGACACACACCTGCAGTTTCGGCTACTCGGGAGGCTGGAGCAGGAGGATCACTTGAGCCCAGGAATTCAAGGCTGTGGTAAGCTGTGATGACACCACTGCAGTCCAGCCTGGGCCACACAGGGAGACACTGTCTCAAAAGAGAAAAGGGGAAAAATGCATTTTAGACCACCCCTCAAACAGGGAGGGGCAGGGGAGCCCAGCTGCGGGGAGCGGCAGGAGGGAAGGCCCGTGAGGAGGTGCGGCCCCGCTCTCACAGCCCTGGGGCTCCGCAGCGGTCTCACCCGTGCCCAGGCTGCGGGACCGTGGTCAGCTTCCCACCTAGCCAGACTCCGCGCTGGCCCCTGGGCCCCTACGGGCGCAGCACCTCACGGTGCGGGGCGCAGTCCATCTACGCGCCCAGCCCGTGCGCTCTAGCGGGGAGGAGGGGAAAGATCGGGGTCTGGAACCGGCGGGAGCGCCCGGGGCAGCGCGGGGTCGGATGCCGCCTGGCGGTCCCGCAGTCCGCGCGGGCCGCGGGGGTGCCTATTCGCGGTGCGGGCCCGACCCCCAGCGGAGCGAGGCGGAATTCGGGGGCTCGGCGTGGCAGTGACACCTGCTCGCCAGCGCTGACTGAGAGTGGTGGTTGTTTTTAATTAATAATTTTACTTTTTACACTTTTAGATTTACAGAAAATTTAAGCACCTGCCCACGTTTCCCCAATGAATATCAGCTTCCGTTAGGGTGGTACACTTGTTACAATTAACGAGCCAGTTTTGATACATTATTATTAACTAAATTCCATACTGTAAGGGTCACTGATGTGCTGCACATTGGTGGTTTTGCCAAATGCATGGCATTTACCCACCACTGTGGAATCACGGAGAAAAGTTTCACCGCCCTCACCCTTCTCTGTGTTCCCCCTGTCGTCCCCCTCCTGCCTCCCACCTGGCAAGCACTCATCTTCTATTGTCACCTTAGTCTCACCTTTTCCAGACCAACAGTGGGTTGGAACCACATAGTATGCGACCTTTCCAGATTGGCCTCCTTCACTCTGGCACTGCGCACCGCGGTTTCCTCCGTGTCTTTTTGCGGCTTACTGGCGCACTTCTTTTTAGCGTTGAACAATTATCCATCGTGTGGATGTACCAGTCTGTTTATCCATTCACCTATTGAAGGACATCTTGGTGGCTTCCAATTTTTCATGATCGTGAATAAGCTCACTATAAACATTTATGTCCAGGTTTTTGTGTGGACATGGTTTTCAGCTCAATTGGGTAAATACCTATGTGTCCAATTGTTGGATCATATGGTAAGACAGAATTTAGCTTTGTAACACACTGCCTTCCCAAGTGGCTGTACCATTTTGCATTCCCATCAGCAATGAATAAGGGTTCCTGTTGCTCCACATCTTTGCCAGCATTTGATGTCGTCAGTGTTCTTAGTTTTAGCCCTTTTAATAGAGGTGTAGTAGTATCTTGCTGTTTTAACTTGAAATTCCCTGATGGCCATATGATGTTGACCATCATTTCATACACTTATTTACCATCTGTACATCTTCTTTGGTGAGGTGTCTGTTCAGATTTTTGCCTATTTTTAAATTGGGTTAGTTTCTTGATATTGGGTTTTAGGAGTTCTTGTATATTTAGATACTAGCCCTTTGTCAGATATGTGTTTTGCAATGTATTTTTAATATATATTTAAATAAATACACAGATATTTAAATAAAATATATTTTTGGGTGTTGCCTAAAATAATTTCCTATGCCATCTATGCCATGCTTACAACACTTCAGGAAATATTATTTAAATCTTCCATTTAGGCTGGGCGCGGTGCCTCATGTCTGTAATCCTAGCACTCTGGGAGCCGAGGCGCGGATTCCTCGAGGTCAGGAGTTTGAAACCACCCTGAGCAAAAGCAAGACCCCGTCTCTACTATAAATAGAAAGAAATTAATTGGCCAACTAATACATATATAGAAAAAATTAGCCGGGCATGGTGGCACATGCCTGTAGTTCCAGCTACTTGGAAGGCTGTGGCAGGAGGATTGCTTGAGCCCAGGAGTTTGAGGTTGCTATGAGCTAGGCTGACGCCATGCACTCACTCTAGGCTGGGCAACAAAGTGAGACTCTGTCTCCAAAAAAAAAAAAAATCTTCCATTTAAAATGAAATGAATTTCTGTGGACATACAATGAAAGCAAAAAAACCACAACAGCATCTATGGAAACTCACTTGTCATGGACTGCATCCTTAATTTGACATCTCTGTTTCAAAAATGATGGATAATTATGACCTATGGCTCAGGATGCTTAACACATACCAACGTTTGCTCAACACTATTTGCTTCTGGGTTCCCCATAAATACAAACTTGAATTATATTTATTTTATAATTTCTTGATACTTTAATATAATTACTGCTCCCAAAGGTAGGACTTGGTAGTAGCATAGTTTTAGACATGCTGCCTATACCAAAGGAGAGTCTCAATGTGAAATGGCATATAGCAAGGACTGTGTAACCATCTATTACATACTAGACCTTTCCAGGAGCTGTTCTAGAGAGTGACACCACAGAGAGAATGCAGGAGAGTCTGGAGTCTCACGGTCCAGAACGCTTATGGTGATTTACTAGTTGCATGCTAAGCCACTTAATTTTTCTGAGGCCCAGTTTATCAATCTACTTAGAGTAAATGATTGCTAATGGTCTCTCTAGTTTTGACAACCACAAAAGACCTAGAACAGACAAATCTATCCTGAGAAAAAAGAACAAAGCTGAAAGAATCACATTATCTGACTTCAATCATACTACAGAGTTGTAGTAACCAAAACTGCATGGTGGTATTGGTGTAATAACAGACATATAGACCAATGGAACAGAATAGACAACCCAGAAATAAATTCACACTTCCAAAGTAAACTTATCTTTGACAATGTTGCCAAAAATATACAGTGGGGAAAGCATAGTCTCTTCAATAAATGGGGCTGGGAAAACTGGATGCAGAAGAATGAAAATAGACCCTTATCTCTTGGCATATACAAAAATCAAATAATAATGGATTAAAAACTTAGAGAGATGAAACTATAGGAGCACTGAAAGAAAACATTGGGGAAAAGCTTCAGGACATTGTTCTGGGCAAGGAGTTCTTGAGTGATGCTCCCAAAGCACAGGCAACCAAAGCAAAGTTGGACAAATGGGATCATAGCAAGCTAAAAAGCTTCCACATAGCAAAGGAAATAATCAACAAAGTGACAAGACAATCCACAGAATGGGAGAAAATATTTGCAAACTACCCACCTGACAAGGGATTAATAACTAGAATATACAAGGAGCTCCAATAACTCAATAGGGAAAAAATAATCTGACTAAAAATGGGCACGGGATCTGAATAGACACTTCTCCAAAGAAGACATACACATGGCCACCAGGTACATGAAAAAATGCTCAAGATCATTAGTCGTCACAGAACAGCAAATCAAAACTACAATGAGATATCATTTGAGCCCAGTTAAAATGGTTTGTTTGTTGTTTTTTTTTTGAGACAGAGTCTTTCTCTGTTGTCCCTGAGTAGAGTGCAGTGGTGTCAGCCTAGCTCACTGCAACCTCAGACTCCCGGGCTCAAGTGATCTTACTGCCTCAACCTCCCAAATAGCTGGGACTACGGACTTGCACCATGACACCACAGGCTAAGTTTTCTGCTTTTAGTAGAGACTTGGTCTCACTCTTCCTCAGGCTGGCCTGGAACTCCTGAGCTCAAGTGATCCTCCCACCTCAGCCTCCCAGAGTGGTAGGATTACAAGCATGAGCCACCTTGCCCAGCCTTAAAATGGCTCTTATCAAAAGGATAGGCAATAATGAATGCTAGTGAGGAGGTGAAGAAAGGGGAACATTCATACACTGTGGGTGGGAATGTAAATTAATGCAGCCACTATGGAGAACAGTATGGAAGTTCCTCAAAAAGCTAAAAACATAACTACCATAACCCAGCAATCCCACTGTGAGGTATGTATCCAAAAGAAGGAAATTCAGTATATTGAAAAGATATCTGCGCTCCCGTGTTTATTGCAGCACTAGTAATAATAACTAAGATTTGGAATCAACCGAAGTGTTCATCAACAGATGAATGGATAAATTATGGTAAATATTAAATATACATAGTAGAATATTATATAGCCATAAAAAGAATGGAATCCTGCCATTTGCAATGACATGGATGGAACTGGAGAACATTATGTAGAGTGAAATAAGCCAGGCACAGAAAGACAAATCTCACATGTTCTCACTTATGTGTGGGACCTAAATCTTAAAAGCAATTGATCTTACGGAGACAGAGAGTAGAATGATGGTGACCAGAGGCTGGGAAGGGTCGCAGGTATGTGGGATAAAGTGGGGATGGTTAATGGGTATGAAAATATAGTTAGATAGTTAGATAGAATGAACAATATTTGAGAGCACAGCAAAGTGACTGTAGTCAACAATAAGTTAGGGCTGTGGTCCCCAAACCCCTGACATTGAGGTTATTTCTAATTTTTTGTCTGTGGGAAGCATGGTGATGAAGTTATACCTGTGTATTTACACAGATCCACAATTCCTCCTAAGGGTAAGTAGCAGGTATCTAGATGCACTATAGCTCAGCTGAAGCCTTTATCTATGTAGATGAGTGTGCATCACACTCTGAAAAGTAAGACTTTCTTATGTTCCCACCAACAGCATGGAAGTTTGCCCATTTCCCAAATCTTTGCTAATATGAAGTGTTACCATTTGGGGGTAAAAAAATCCTTGCCATTTTGTGTGGCCAAGAAAGGTATATTTTACTATATTTTAATTTTGCATTTCTTTAGCAACTATTTTCTATCAGTTTCTTTGCTTTTTAAGTTTTTTCTTTTGTGAATATGTATTTGGGTTCTTAACCATTTTTCCATTGGGGCGGGGAGATGGGGTTGCCTCTTTCTTATGGATCCCTGAGAGCATTTTACATATTACTCATCAG